CTCACTGCTGGATGGCTGGCATGTGTTTTTCCTCTTTTCTGCTTCTCTCTTGCTTTTACTTTCTCCCTTCCGTTTCTCAGACTCTCACTGCTCTCTCTTTGTTTGCATATTTTCCCCTCAAACTCACTCAGTTTGTCTCTCACTCATCTCTCACTATCCCTCTCGTACTCTTTCGCTTGGCAGGGCCTCTTAATTGGAAACAAGCTGTGAGAGGGCTTTCAGTTTGAGGTTAAAATTGCATCTGACCTGCCTCCTGCTGAATCTTTTCTTCTCTCCTTTGGCTGTATTACAGGTTTGTACACAGTGGCTGAGTGCAGATGTCTGAAGGACAGTGGGGTGAAGAGGGAAGCAAAAGGTTGACTCTACCAACTGGCTGGAAACAGCATGGGCATGACAGATAAACAAGCAAAATTGAAACATACTGTAGCTAACCTGCAAAACACAAATATGTGGAATATAACCTGGACAACATGCCCTTTCAATCCAGACATTTCAATTAGGATACGCAAATACAAACCGTGGTAAAAGGTAGGTAGGGGAGGTAGTTAAGAGACACTAATGCATCATACCTGATACAACTTTTTACAAGCTCATATATGGGACTAACATGTACAGTACAGTACATCAAAAACCCATATACATTCCAAACCAACACCTGGAGAATAAAGTCTAAACTATTACACAAAAATGTCATGGCCATAACATGGTAATCATGGTGAGAGGCTGCATTCAGTCTGTCACAACTTCCTTGTTGTCAGTGGGAGAGGATAAGAGGGATTTGTTGCACAAAGGGCCACAGCCAGGCACAGAAACTATTACTTCCACCCAGTTAGACCACAGACTGTACTGTCTGACCCATAGGGGTGTATAACAGGACAGTGCAACCCAATCATAAATTATACACGTCAACCTGGATAGAGAACTCAGTGCTACCCACAGATAATGCAAATCTGTAGATCTGTTTTTTTGATTGTTACTTTATGAAAGTGACATGATAATGTGTAGAATTAGTATAAATGTAGTACACCTGTAACTGTTAAAATATTTTACACACTTGAAACTGTCTGTCTGCTAACAGCTGCTTAATCCAGGGAGATATTGTTGTATCTCAACTCATTCAATATTTTTATTGTATCATGCTTAAACCAGCGTATCCAGTGTGTTGTTTACAGCAAGGTGCAAATCAGAGACACTTTTCATTTGGAAAGTTGAACCGAAAACAAATATTGATTTCCTAGGCAACTGGCTTCCTTGACTACTGTCCCACTCACATTTTTTACATCCAAGTCTCACCTCCTTGGAAAGCCCTGCACTGCTGGGTGCCAGACCAAGGATATAGAGCAGGTCTGTGTACAATTACCGACTGAAAATAATTCAGCTTTTGGGGACTGATGAATCGGTCCCATCAGGCATAATGTTAACCAGTTGGATTCCTCCTCCAAAAAAGGGACAACCCAACCCAACTTGCACTCCAAACAGACTCAATAAAAACCTTGTTGTAATGATAATATTTTCATGGTCCATTGTAGGCTACTGGTGACAAGAACTTTTTTTAAAAGCAACCACAATATGCATAGTGTCAAAAACTTTCTCGAGGATTATTTACACTGATTATTATGGACCTGCCACATCACATCAGGTGATCTATGCCAACACTGAATTCAATGCCTAAGATCTCGTTGTTTTGATAGGTCGCATTAATTTCAGCCTGTCACAACTCAATAGGTATGAAACCAAAGTCCAGGGTAGATCAAATGTGAGAGTGGGCTATTATTGCACACACAAATTAAGAAAACAGTAAACTGCAACAGATGAGCTCGGATAGCCTCAAGCTCTGTTCTGTAAAAATCACTGTGCACGGCAAGATATTTTCAGATCCTGTCCAAACAAACTTCTCATAAAAAATGAATAACTGGCTCAGAGATCCACTTTGCCTGCTTTGTGTAAATTTGTCAGCTATGAAAACTTTGGGATGCTTTCTGACTTTGCAGCAAGTAACCACCACTGTTAAAAAATTATCCTAGCTAGCTTATCCTAGCTAGTCTAAGAGCCATTGCCATTGACCTCACTATGAACACTTTAACAGAGAGTTTGGAAATGTGATCTCAAATTGATGTGGACAGTAATGTATCTAGATTATGTTCAGCTTGAGATCTACAACACAAGTCAGACTACTTTAGGATGTGTTCTGGCTGTGGATAATGACGCAAGTAAGATGCGACCATGGAGTGAACAGATAAGCTCATTATATATATATATATATATATATATATATATATATATATATATAGACTTAGAGGAAGACAGTCATGCTTTTTATTAGAAACTTTCATTTATCCTCCTCACTATTTAAGAGCAAAAACTTTTTGAAACCATATTAGTTTAAGTGACATACAGATTATTTGAGCACTAACAGCACAAGGAGAAGGTAAAGTCAGGATTAGTAAATACATTTTATTTAATTTAACAGAAATTTTGCAGTGTCCTGGGGATCAAGTCAAAGCCTGTTGACAGATAGCAATGTAGCTTACTGGGGATGTACTGACCGAGAATCACTGAACATACTGTAGCCATGCAATGAAGCTAAGCTGGAGAGGGCTAGAGAGATACGCAAAGCCTGTTTCTTCCCCAATGCTATTAATGACAGGAGGATTAATTTTTCCTTTGGGTTATGGCTCTGATGCCACCCATCTCACTGTGTGAAATCACTCTCTGGCAGCGCCTGGCAGCGAGCAGTGAGCTGGCAGAACGGGGCAGAGAGAGAGTAGATAGCTCTCATCTTGAGTGATATGGAGAATGTTGCTCAGCCAAAGAATTAACCTCATAAGCTGATACCTAGCTGCAGAGGTAGACACAAACATGAGAATCCTCTGAGGAACAGTGCTAGGCAAACATATTAGACATCATGATATGAAAACACATCAGAACCATTCTATGATTTGAGGACCGGAAGAAAACACCTTACTTCATTCTCCCTGTAATCTATGTTGCAGCCTTAACGTACTATAAAATTGTCTGTTATCCAAAACGTAACAACTTAACAACAAAGTAAAGAGTTGACATGGGGGTCAATCACGGCAGGTCCCAAACAACATAGGGGTCACGCAGGACACAGGTTGGGGCCAGGGCATTCCTGGCTGATGCAGTTGGGATTGTCTGGGAAATGACTGAGCAAACAGGGGCCAGAGTGGCTTCCCCTTACTGGCACCAGCGCTTTGTCCCCACTAATCCACTCCAAAGAGCCACAGTCAAACACCCAGCGCCATACAGTCACCAGTAACAACACAGCACAGTCTGGGGGGACACGAAATGAATCCCACTGGCCAGAGCAGGGAGACAGACGCCAGTTTGCTCATCAGATTTGGGCACAGAAAACAATATGGCTTAACTGTAGGACTGAGCGATAATCACAAAGCAACTTTTTGAGGTGCAATATTGCCTTCTGCTGGGGTGGGGACAGAGAGAGAATTACTAAGTTTATATACTTTTTTTTTTTTTTTTTTTTTTAAATTGCATTTAATCAATAGTGACAGCCAAACAGTGACAGGAAGGGGGAGAGAGAGAGAGAGAGAGAGAGAGAGAGGATGACACGCAGACAAGCGTGAGCCTATCATGACGTCACCAGTTGGTCTGTGGAGAACGAGTTTGGCGTTTTGGGCAGAAGGGTGACGTACTGCGAGTTGAGCTGTGCTCATTGGCTGTGCAGTTTCGACTCGTCCGTAGCAGGAGCTCCCCAGGTCACACACAAACTGGTATTACAGCTGAACAGTACACTAAAATTTGTTTCTGAAACAATGTGCGTTTCGCTGGACAGACTCACTGAGAGTGACCTGTATATCATAAGGTAGCCACGCCCAAAAGCATTTGCCTCTTTATAGTTTATTTTACTCTAAATCGGACATACGTTTTTTTTTTAATTGCAGCCATGGGCGCTCCCCCTGCTGGCCTTTAAATAGAAGGTTTTAAGACACTTCTGTGTTGGCTTTACTTTACCGACCCAGATGCTCTGTCCATTATATACACTGTCAATACACACAGCAAAGGGCCACAGATTGGAGTCAAACTCATGGCCTCGGGAGGCAATTTTTCCCATTGACTTGCACTTGTTATCTGTGTGCATCATGATAACTAACTGAATGTGTGCATTCTTGTATTGTATTGACAATATCTGTCAGAAATTATCAGGACTCATGATACATTAACAGGCATAAATATGGAAATGTAAAGACCAAGAGAAGCAGATTTATCCACTGCTGAATAGGAGGCTGCATAAACAGATGGGGATATCAATTGAATTGCATTAAATCAGAAGCTCTTGTGGCTGACATTAAAGCAAATCTACTTATGAGAGCCCCATGATGTGTAATTTGGTAAATAAAGTCATATGATATCAGGACTATTTAAAGGGGCAAATCATTCTTGTCCACGAAAGCGTTTGAATTGCTGTTGATCAGATATGCAAAATGAAAAATGAATTAAATCAAGGAAAAGTCGGATCTAGACAAGCCTCAAAGCATTGCATTTAGAAATACTGTCATCATACTGCCTCATTTCTGCCATCCCTGACTTACAGGTAACATGTCATACAGCTCTAAACAAAAAACAGGAAAGCAGGAAAAATAAACAACATGGCAACAATACATGATCCAAAACACAGACCTGTTCAGACCCCTTCCAACTTAATATACCACTGTGTGCTGACTATAGTTTCCCATGGTTACAGAGCCCACCTTGAGAATATCAGGTTCAATCCGAAGAGGAAACAGTTGTTCTGTCAACACTTCACACTTACCTTATCAGTATTAGAAATAGATTGTGTGAGAGTGTGAGCTGAACCATTGAAACATAATGTAAAGCCATCATGCTGACAGAACATTAAGACAAGATGAGAACACAAGACAGAGTGGCAGAAAAAGGACGCATAGAGCAACTGTATGGCGTGAATTGAAAAGGACTGAGACACACTCTTGCTGTAAAGTTAACAACTGGATAGTACTTACTTGTCATATTCTGCATTGTCTTTGTCACAGCGTGCATCCTTGTGTTTCTGCCAGTCTTTCCCATGCTTACAGGTGGTGAGGAGGACCACATCCTCTGAGTTGTGAACATGATATAAAGCATTCCTAGTGTCTGAACCTATTCCAGTTAGGTACCTCTTCCCCTTGAAAACAAGCATGTACTTCCTATAAGGGGGAATGGTATTATGTTTCAAGTAGCCCCTTTCCCCTCCTGTCCTAGGGTGGTCTTTAGAGAAAAGAGGGATGGAAACGTCAAAGTTGGGCCTGAAGTTCTCGGTGCTGATGCTGGCCTTGGCCAACATTGCAAGGCCAATGTCGAAGCCAAGGTCTTCTGTGTAGTCTGGCCAGGTGCCAGAGTATAAGTTAAAGATGATGTGGTTTTTGCCCCCATTCCACAGAGGAAGGCTCTGGACTTTTGCTTTCAAGTTGTGCACGTACTGGGGTGAAAGCTGGTCCCGGTCCAGAGTGTCCAAACTCAGGACAAACAGGCATGCCTGTCCTGGGTCGGGTGTGTAGAACCTGGATCCTTCAATCGAGGACAAGATGTTCTGATAACTCTCTGACATCTTCTCCCCTTTCTGCTGGGGGTAGACATAAACTTTAAATCCCTTCCTCTCACACAGGGAGAAATCAAAGCAGGACTCCATTCTGCAGCGCCTTGCAGTGTACACGCCTGAGTTGGCGTCCCTCTTCTGCCTAGGAGATATGTGTTCATTCTGATCATCGCTCCGGTCTTGCTCCCAGGAGTTGAAAGGCTGCAGGGACCCCGGGAAGCGACGCCACCGCGCCCCGGTGAGGCTGCGGTCATCACGCCGGCCGGGACCCCGTCTGGATAGCGGGACTTGTATCCCCCCAAAACAAAACAACAGGATGACACACGCACCGGCGGAGAAGAGGGTTAAGTACCGTTTTTTGGCCTGCATGTGTCCTATGATCTGGGATCAGATATCTGGCGATAAATCCAACAAGTCCCCAAGTTTTGGTTTCACCACCTCTTACGGGAACGCTCCGCCATCTTCCCCCGGGCTGCAAGGGTTGTGCGCTCACGTCTCCCACCTTCTGCTTCAGATGCCTTTCACAAGTCCGGGAACTGATCCAAAGCATGTGGGCGATTTATAATGTTCATCCACCTCGTCTCCTCGTCAATAGTTGTATCGACTAACTGACATCAGCTCCTCCTATACAACAGAGTGAACCTATCCACTTAAAAACGGGGATCTATAAAGTGCAGCCGCACTTTCCTTTGTATAACACTACATTTACTTTATCCAAAACGCCCATTTTTTACGACAGAGTCTTCATGTTTAGCTAACTAGACCCGGGCGGTTACTAATAACAACACTGCAGAAGATTAGCAGAAACTTGAGCAGCGTTTAAACAGCAGTGTGTGCTAGACTTGTTGCCTGGACAGTCAACTATTGTCCCTGCTGGAAATGAGCGACTAAGCGGACACAAGAGCCCTAAACATTCAACATACCCAGTTTGAGACGTCGCCGCAATTCGTTGCCTTGGTGTATCTAAAGATAGTATCGTTATATCTTGTATCTTGTTAAATGTACACAGGGAATTTCTCCGTCCGGTTTAGCTAGCTAGCAGGCTAACAAACTGGCTAGTTTCTGAAAACATTGCCAGTTAGCTTGTTAGCTAAGCGGTTGCATCAAAGTAGCTTTAACGCTGGTTGGAAGTAAAGACAGCCACACAGTGTCTCTTCCCCCCATTAAAAACATGTCTCTTCCTTCGCACAACTTATCCTTCGCTCTGCCCACAAAACCGACAGGCTAATTTCTCCGTGAATTCCTCCTGTCGTGTAAAGTGTTGAAGTGGTGGCTCTCAGAAACACACACACATACACACACATATATACACACACACACATAAAAACAAGAGGTGCCGTGGAGACCGCGAGCCGAGCAGAGCAGCACGGCAGTGCCACCAGAACGACTGCTGATGATGATGTGACGTCCACGGTGCTTTACCATTGGCTCGCGTCACATCCGAGATGGGCGGGGCTTCCAGTGCACCCATTCACATCCAGGGAGAAGAGAACCGGAGGGAAGGGAGGAAGGCTGTAACAGATTCTTACCACAGAGACATATGAGCTGAGATTTGTGGTTCGTGTAGATAAGTGTTCTTGATGGCAGGTTTTGTTGGCAGTCCAATGATAGCTGAGTGGGGAACCATCAGGAGTCGGCTTTTAAAGTGTAAAATACCTCCTACTGTACCATTACAGTGAAAGTATTCTCAATCTGATCTCAAGGTCAGTTTAATAGCTGTTGTGGAGCTTTTGATCATATCACAAGACCTTTATTAGCACATAGAGCTTTCCCAGTTGTCATGTAAATTGTAAAAAAAATAAAATAAAATAAAATAAAAAAGTGAGTTTGTTTTTAGTACTTCTGCATTTTGGTTTTAAAATAATTGGTTCCAAAGTAAAGAATTAAATAAATTACTAAAATTATTAATAATTGTCATTCAAAATGATATCAGTGTAAATAAATACATCTTAGGCTATTATAATGTTTATGTTGCTTTTGAGGTTAACTATGTATAATCAGGTAACTACAGGAAATGTCCTACAGACACACACAAGGTTGGTTTATATTACAAAATTTAGGGTCTATGGCGATAACAATCAAAAACATCAATATCATTTACATTTAGGCGGACAAAAGCGTTGTGCATAATGCTGCAAGATGTACAAATCTACCTCATTCTACTATATATTCCAATTTTTTATTTTTTTATTGTTTGTGTAAGTTTAAATACAGTTGCAGCACTGCCTTTCACTGTACGGTCACTATAAACTCTGCAGGCAGAGGGCTGGTTGACTGAGACCATGCTTCAAAGAGAATTTGGGTTCAGTATTAACAAGTGATTTGTCAGCGGAGAGACTTAGGTGCTTCTTCACCAGCGTGCATTTGTCCTGCTGAAGTGCCCTTAAGCAAAACATTTGGATCCCTGAGTCATACCAGTGCGGCCCTGTAGCCAAACATGACCTCTGCCCCTAGGGTTACACAACATGAGAAATTAATAATTTTCTACCCAAATAGAAATAGAATATAACAGAAAACATTAGGGGAGACTAGAATAGAGTTTGCCCTGAGACGAATTGCACCAGTGAATGAGGACCAGTAGGACAATGGCACTGCAGTGAATTAGCCAGGTCTTTTCTGGCATGTAGTAAGCCATGATGTGTTTTCACAGCTGCTGGGGTCTGAAAGACTAGAAGTGATTTTGCAGAAGCGGGGAAAGAGCAAGGAGGAATGTGAAGCTGCGTTCCTCAGGAGCTGTGGACCAGCTATCTGCACTGCCTCAGTTCCCCATGGACCACTGATCAAAGACAGGGAGGGATATGACGGCCACCTCCTCATTCTCTACCTCCTCCCTTTCTCTTTGTCTCCTCTTTCTGTCTCACCCACCCCACTCCTGCCTTCTTACTCTCTATCAACCCCTCTGCTGCTCTTTGGCATTCTTTCCACCTCTTCTCTCTTTCATCCCTTTAACTAATTTAGGGGGGGGGCGCCGTTGACTGATCTGAGTAGATGGATGTTCCTGAGCTTTTGCCACTACAACGATCAGATGTGTACTGTTTATATGTCACTGAATTTTAATTCAAGCTCTTTAAAGTGCTCTATCCATGTGGAATTGTGACAGTCCCTCACTTTACAGTCAGAAATGTATAATTGCACTTCCAGTAGGCTTATTTGGATGCCTTACTTCAAAACCAACGTGATGACAGAGTAAGGACAAATCAACAAAAATGCAGACAATTGGATTCCAGGGAAAAAAACATAAAAAAAAACATCTGTGGGTTTCTGCTTTTGTCAAGCTATTATCTGCAGCTTAATGAGAATGTGGAGATGCTGTCTCCCTGCTGTTGCATTGTGTTTGCTGAGCTGAGCACTGGCCAGATTTAGAGCAGCAGGGTGACTGAGCCAGAGCAGCACTCCCACTGTGTAATACACGCAACCATGCCAATATCTAATTTGGATGCACCCAGGTCAGCATAGTTTTCCCAGCCAGCCAGCGAGTCAGTCAGCCAAGAAACTAAACAGCCAAATGGAGATTTATTATTTCCTTCTGAGTACATTTTAAGGTCATTAATTCGCTTTTTGTCAATAACAGTAATGCAATGCAGATTTGCTATTTAAAAATTCCACTCACATATTCACATCAAAATATGAAATGTGTTACACAACAGCCACGCAGACATATGCAGGACTACGCACACACATACACACAGCCATTTGTTGGCGTGCAAATGCTATGTATGTGTGTGCCTCTTTCATGTAGAGCACAGCCTTGGATGTGGTAATTTAATGTCCCCTCCTCACTGAGACTGACAGCCTTGGTGAAGAGCCTCATCCGTCTGTGTGACACTGAAATGCACAAATCACATCTGAGTGTAACAGGATGAACAGTGAAATGAAGGGTTCATGTAACAAATGGAAGTGTCAGTGTCTTGATGCAGAGAGGACCAGTAGGATCACCCTCAACGATTTAAGTGGGGAGCTACTTGATATACTGTACAGCTGGCAACTTCTCCTCCAGTGGGAACAAGTCATAGATGGATATTTTCTCATGTCACAGTCTAGTAGCTTGTATTTTTTAAACTAGTTTTTATTAAGGGGATTTTTAAATTTAGCTTATTCACTTTCTTGCTGAGAGTTACATGAGACGATCATACCACTCTCCTGTCTGTGCATTTAATATGAAGCTGCAGCCAGCAGCCGATTAGGTTGGCTTAGCTGATTAGCTTAGTCCAACACTTACAATAACACCTTCTTATAAGCGCAGCCTGTCATTTCAGTACTTCAGTTTTATTAACTAGATACAAGGTGTTAATCAGGGAGAATTAGAGGTGTTGGTAGGTACATTTTGTTACCTTTAGAAAGAGTCTATTTCTAGTTTAGTCTGCTTTCCCCCCATTCCAGTTTTTGTTTTGCCTTGTTGAGTCAAAAAGACTAGGTAGGATACTGATTTGACACTGCCTGTCATCAATGGCATGAGAGTTGTTCCAAATGAATAGATTTATAGTTGATATAGTCATGAATCACAGTGAATGCTTTCACAGTCGACTTTAGAAATTCAGATGAGATTGTGAGGTCCAAATGTACACTCCAAGACTTAATACATCACTCATTCCCTGAGATCATAGACTTTATAAATGATCCTAAATCCCTGGCTGAAACCTTTAATTTACTGGTTAAATAACCTTAAGTCTAAAGCTATATGGTAGCAGCTCTGTGAGGCTGTACTTTGAGTTAAATGCTAATGGAAACATGCTCACAAAGGCAAACATTGATAACTGCACATGTGCAATGTTTCATGGTAAAAGCAGGTGTTTAGCAGGTATAATGTTTACCATGTCTTAGGTTAAATGGTAAATGGACCTGTACTTATATAGCGCCTTTCTAGTCTTCCGACCACTCAAAGCGCTTTTACACTACGTGCCACATTCACCTTTTCACACACATTCACACAGTGAAGTCCATCGAACAGAAACTAACATTCATACACACGGCATCGGGAGCAATTTGGGGTTCAGTATCTTGCTCAAGGATACTTCGACATGTGGCACCAGGAGCCGGGGATCGAACCCACAACCTTCCGATTAAGGAACGTGTCAGCATGCAACCAGTTGCTAATGAGCACTTAACAAAAAGTACAGCTGAGGCCACCATTAGTTTTGAAGGTATTTGGTCATAAACCAAAGTATTGGAAAAACGTTGTCCTGCTGGCGTCATTACAGGAAGAGGATTCATCCTCTGGGGATCATGAATGTATGTACTATAATGGTATGGGATGGCAATCCATTCAACAGTTGTCGGGATATTATAGTCTTGACCAAAGTGGTGGACCAATCAACTGGCAGACAGACAGAAAAATAATTTGAAGATCGTATTGCCTCATTTTGAATGTCATTATAACATGCTATAATACACGGTTGACCCCATTGGAAAGTCTGCTCCTGTTCCCAGCAATAATTTCCTTTGAAGTGCTCCAGTCATAAGGACCTGTCACATAATTTTAGAGTGGCAACAACAAAAAGCTCCCATGACCTAGTTATAATTCAGAGTCAATTGTTCTTTAAAGGACTAATATTCTGTTCCTTAATGGTAATAAAAATAATGCAGAGACATCTCTGGGTGGAAAGAATAAAGAATAAACTCCTTTTTTACATCCAGTATTTTTGTTAAAATATTGATTATCTGCCTTTACATTTCTCTAAATTCATCAGTGTAAAAGTGGATTCAAGAATCCCATTCAAAAGGGAGGTTATATCTATCAATCTATCAGTGAATAATGTTAAAATGACAGTTCTCATTGTTTTATTCACAATCCAAACTGTGTCAGAAAGTCTACAGGAGATGAATGTGTTGATCAATGACTTATCAGCATCATAAGAGGTGTTGTGATTATCATCATATTCCTCTTGCCTATTTTTCTTCTTTCTCTTCTACTGTTTGTATTTATATATTACAAAAAGGACAGTGACTAAATAATAAGAATAGAGACAAAGCATGTGTGTGTGTGTGTGTGTGGGGGTGTGGGTGTGTGTGTGGGTATGCGTGTGTGTGCGTGCTTGTCTGTGTGTAGGTGGGTTCGTGCGAGTGGACAATATGTTCACCACTTTGTGTGCATGGCATTGTGTGTGTGTTGGAACATCTCAATCACAGGGTAGAGATCAGGTTCAATTACACATGCAATAACTTTTAGGTCTCTATAGGCCTGGAAGCCATTTGTATGCTAATAAGTATGACAGCAGTAATGACTTGCAATAAAGGTAACATCTGCTGCTTGATCAAATTTGATATTGGAGTATTACCACAATCAGCCTTTGCTATTTGTCCTGAAACCACTTGTTAGTCTCAAAACGTTTGGGAAGAGTTTTGGTATCTAGCATTGGTGATGTAATATTGGGCACATTCCCTGCAGT